CCAGACTGGGGGGGCGATATGCTGACTCTGTAAACCGCTTAGAGAGGGCTGGAAGCCCTATGAAGCGGTATATAAGTCTAACTGCTATTGCTATTTTGGGGCACGTTCAAGGTTTATTAGCTAGGTGCTACGAACGGTGCTGAGCAGAGCTTAATTAACAATGATAAGGCCTCCTCCTGCTAAGCCCGTGGCGTAATGAGAAAAGTTTGTTTTCTTACAGATTTTCCATTACATCGTTTTGACGTCGCACGTGGAGGCTTCTCTGCAGCTCCACAATTTCGGTATGCAGCGCCATGATCTGCTCATCCAGGGAGCCGATATCCGCCACCTGCAAAGGAGAAATGAAATCCCCTCTCTGACAGGCTGAAGGTCTGATTATTTCTTTTGCATTGAATAGTCACCTAGCTGGATGCCTCTTCCCATCGGACAGAATGAAAGGACTTGCCGCATGGGCTCTCCTTCACTTGGGGGTTTCTAATTGGAGCTGGATGGTTGGTTTGCTGGAGATGCCTTTCTCAGCCTTGGCAACTTCAAGAGGTATGGACTTCAACTCCCAGAATTCCTTCTTGGGGAATTCCTGCCTGGGAAATTCTGGGAGTCGAAGTCCACAGGTTTTAATTATTGCTAAGGTAGAGAAACATCCACACCAAGTGGCAGGTAGGGCTAAATGGCCTGTTTTCTGAATAATAAACAGTAAACACGGAAAAGATTTGAATGTTCTCAATTTAAGAGGCCTTGGAGAAACCGAACGTCTTCCTCACGGACTCAGTTACAGACAGAGCCTTCCTCCTACACATCATTTTGACCAGGGAGGGGATGGTGGTGGGGTTTTCCTCCCCATCCGGGGTGGCAATGGCTGAGCACACTCTAAATTAGATGGCTTTATCTGAGGATCGTCTCAATATTAGTGATAATGAAACGCAGAAGAAGAAAGGGGAGCTTAGTTGTTATTAGCTCCTGATTCTTTCCCTGTATGTGAGGTGCTGTCTCAGAATTAAAAATATACATTTGGTGACAGTAACAATAAATGTGGCTTAGAAGCATTGCTCTTTGGATAATGGAAAGTTTTTCATCACTTTCCTGCCTTTATTTTTTCATTACTTTTGATTGATTTCCTATTTTTTCTGTACCCAGATAAGATGCTATCTCAGAATTAAAAGCTCTTAATAAGGATGATGGGGACAAGAGGAGTAAAAGCCAGAGGAACAATACACTCTGGTTTCGAGCCGTACCTTTTCGCACAGTGAAGCTTTTTCTTCCATATCTTTCCAAGCTTTTAACATTTTCTCTGAGGCTTAAAGAAAGAGACTGGGGTTAATTCACCATATTCTCTGAAAATAAGCAACGCTTGGTTTGAAAAAAAACAAGGCTCCAAAACAGAAGTAGTTATACTGATGAATTTTGGAAAGTTAACATATTTTGTACATTTCAGAGAAGAAAGAGGTAGGAAAGAAGAATTTGGGGTCCTGTATTGAGGAAACCTAAAGGATGCAGATGTTAAGGCAGTGTTTCTCAACCTTGGCAACTTGAAGATGTCCGGACTTCAACTCCCAGAATTCCCCAGCCAGCATTTGCTGGCTGGGGAATTCTGGGAGTTGAAGTCCGGACATCTTCAAGTTGCCAAGGTTGAGAAACACTGAACTAGTGGAACCCGCATTTAAGACATTCCTAATCAATTCATCCTCTACATCTCTTCCTGCACACAAAAACCTTAAAATTACACATATTATGACTAAACGTGCATTAATAGCATGTAAAACATAC